AAAATAATAATATACTTTCTGTGTGCAGAAAATAGAGCACCACGGTTCATCTATTCTTTTTCTGCCCCTACAAACGGAAGTTTCAATTGTTCGATATGAACTGTGCGTCTCTTTTTGGGCTCCTTCATACTCTCTATCGTTACCAAATTATGTTCCCTGATGGCAACTACCCTGAATGGGCCCTCGTATCGCGTCAATTCCTTCCCCCGATTTGTTCCCCTTCTCCGGTACACAGTAGTTCCGATTTTCAAATCCCCCATTTGATCGCGTAATCTTAAATTTTCTCTACCTACCCGCTTCCTCTTTTCCCACTCTATTTTTTCTCGTACTGTATCCCACGTCCTCCTCAATTCTACCCTATTATTATTTATTTGTTCGGCCACTTGGTCGTTAGTCGCCGTATCCGCGCAATCTCGTCTTCGTCCCCGCATCCCAAACAGTACTTCGAAGGGCGAGAACCCAGCGACGGAATGAATTGAATGGTTATATGCTATTATCGCCTTTTTCATAGCAATGTCGGGCTCCAATCCTTTTTCTCCCTGATAAACGCGTATATGGTCGCTCAGGGTACTATGCAGCCGCTCGATGCTACCTCTGCTTTTGGGATGCCCTGGTGTATTGAAGTGCCAGTTTATCTCCAAGCGTTTTGCCTCCTCCCTCATTGTGCTATTGTCAAATTTCCATCCTCCATCCGAGGAGACTCTCTCAGGTACCCCGTAAAATTGCATCCATGTTTGAATAGCTTCTAAAGCTGCATCGGACGATTTCTCCAATATCTGGTACGCCATAGCAAGTTTGCTAAAGATATCAATTATGGTTACCCACCCTCTCCATGTGAAGGTGTCGATCTGGAGATCTTGTAATGGTGCGTTTCCCGTGGGTGTCTCTTTCTGCCTTCTCTGAGGTGGGTGTCTGTCGTATTTCGTGCGCATACACACCTCACACGTTCCTATCGTTTCTTGTATGGTCTTCCTCATTCCCCACCAAAAGTACTTCCTGCGTAGTGCCTGTAAGGTCTCGTTCACTCCCCTATGGTTTGTTTTCCCCTTGTGATACGCAAGGGTCACTTCCTTTTGTCCGTTCCTCGTCCGTTATTGTCTCCACCATATATTTGCATCGAACAAACATTCTATCTATTCCGATTTTTTCGGACCTCCAAATCCTCTTAATCTTTTCCCATATTGTGGCGTTTCCCACATAGAGATGATTTGTCTTACCTGGCTCCGATGCATCCTTCAGCGCCCTGCAGATTTGATCCTCACGCACCCCTGGTTGCGACCAGATTGTGTGAACCTTACTTCTACCATAGCGGCTGTAGTAAATTTTCATCGTACCCGCTATCCTAGTCTTCCAGATGACCTGGTGACGCTTGTCATTGATGATCTCGTCAATTTCTTCCATCTCTGCTGGCCTCTCCTCCGTCGAGCTCTCATCTTCGGGGGACTCCTCTCCCTGCCGTACGTCTCTCGCACCGTCCTCTCCTTCCCTTTCCGGTGTCCATTCACTTAGGAATTGTCGAACATCACGTGATGGTCCACCACTGTCTTCCTCGAAATATCGGTCCAATAATTTCGGAAAAAATGCGCGGATGGCGGGCTAGTAGTGTATATATAAGAAAAAGTGGTGGACAGAATTCAATAAAATTGGCACTACATTATTTTTTCACCAAAGTCTACCTTTTATCAAACTTTGAGCTCTTTCTGAAATATTGGCATATCTAAAAAAATACGTTTGCGCGTGCGTAAGCGGAAGTGGTGGATGGAATTTGATAAAATTGATATGGGACCATCTAGGCACAAATCAGCAAAATCCCTGAAAATTTCATGAAGATTGAATGAACGGTACTAGGTGATATGCCCGTCACATCGATTTGACTACAAATAGACAGACAGACAGACAGACACCGACGCAAATTTGATCCTTGATGTCTGAAACGTAAAACACGAGTGAAAATTTTCGATTATGAGCAAAAAATTTTTTTTAATCTCTCGCATGAACACAATGCTTCCCTACCTTCGGTAGTGAGGAAGCAATAAATATAATTGATTTATTTTTAATTTGTTTATTGTTGACTGAACACCCCAACCAACTTCTCTTCAATTATTCACTACAATCAATCATCATACCACTGTTATAACTTTAATTCATTTTTTCAAACAATTAATATCATGAATATTTTGTTATCTATAAATTAAAGTAATAAAAAATATTACTGGTGGTTGAATAAAAGGTTAGTGAGTAAGACATTTATTTATTAGATAGTCATTTGATTTTTTTCTATTACCTTGTGGATCTACTTAAAGTTGTTGCTGTATATAAAATGGGAACCTGATCTTTCGACAAGATAGGGAAAATCTGCTAGTCGAGCATGATATTTTTTATTGAAATCAGTATTTTATTGCAAGAATGTTTTTTGTTGCTCTTTTTAGGACTTGGTATCAGATTTGAAAAGTGAAGTAAGCGGTAAATTTGAAGACTTGCTTGTTGCATTGATGAATCCAATTCCCGATCTTCTTGCTGAGGAATTAAATCATGCTATATCTCAAGTCGTCAATCCTATTGGACGCCATTTTGGGACAGTGCGTTCACTTTTTTTGTGGGACTATTGGCTTTTTTTAAATAAATAGTTGCGAAGAAGACAATGATGTACAATTTTTAGAGATGTGGGGGAGTGCACGGTTGGGGGGGTCTGGCCCATCGTGTACCACTACTGAGGGTGAAGATGCCATGGGCGAACAAACCTTGCCAAGACCCTCACATCCAAAGTGGATGGAAACTTGAATCCATATAAATTTGTGATTGTGATATTAAGAAGTTATTGAAAACAATTATAACAATGACGTTTATGATTGTATGAATATTATATAATATAACAACATCAAATGAAATTACCATGACACTTTTATAATCTCAAAATACAATATTAAATTTTTAATTAATATTAAATATTAAAGTGATACGATTTTTATTTTCTATTTCATTTTATACTTGGACTTAAAGTGTGGCCACACATATTATTAGACACGCGAACAAAAGTTGTAGGTCAAGAATATGATAAAAACAACTTTTTCTGTAAATGAGAATATTTTACAAACATTTTAAAATAGCTGTAAATGTATACTGGTGGAAGATTAAATTGCATATGTATATTTATAATCTAATAGGAAACTTAAGTCTCTACAACTTCTTTTAAATGAATTTCTTTCTCAGATGAATAGCTTAGACGATATAAAGGGATGTTTGATAAAAAATGTGAGGAAAAATGATATTTTTTCGAAAATGTCATATTTTTCCGAGCGTGTACCTCGAAGACAGTTTATAATTAGAATAAAACCTATTGAATAACAGTTTTAGTTAATTTTATGATCTTCAATTTATTAACTGAAAAAATTCTCCTGCTATACACCGTTTTCGAGATTTAAGCGAAAATTCAAAAATGTTGACCTTTCATCTTTCCTTCTCCCTCCCTCCTTTATCCCGGCTCACCACCTTGACCTAAGGAATTTCGATATGTTCATACCTTAAGCACCCTAAACAAGTTCCTGAAGAAATCGCTTAGGTCCCTGTTTGCACACTCTACACCCCCATTTTGGGCATTCATTGACTGGACTAAACCGGTCATTAGCGGCATTAAATGGACTTGAATTAGATGGACAAATTTTATTAATTTGTTAATATGTTATTATTATTAAATGATTTACAAGGGGAAGATAAAAAAAAATGTACTATATATTGCAAATTGTGTTTTATTAATAACTAACAACCATAATGCAAAAGTGTGTGAAACGTTTATCAAATTTTTTTAAGACAATTATTTCAGTTTTTAGATTTTTACCAAACTCTAAAACATTATTCGTTATTATAATTTTCAACGTAATTCAACACCAACATAACTAATAATGGGTTATTATTTCCCAACAATTATACATCTAAAGTAACATTACCTTTCTAGGGACAAATTAAAAGAAATAAAAAGTTAATACACATTATTTCCCTAAACATTTTTTTTTTCATCATTAGTAATTCGCTAAAAAAAAAATAATAATAAGGTTACTTCGGTAACACATTCAAAAATAAAATTCTAAAACAAAGGATTTGCAGTAGAACATAAAAAACATCTAGAGACCATATCTTTGCTAGTAATACTTCGATTTTTTTTTTTTTAGGAAAATTGGTAAACTTTTAAAAAACTATATACAATATCAACTTAAAGTTAATTAATTAAATTATTTGAGTCGAAACCTTGTGAATCAAAAACTGATGGCAATTTAAAACTGGCAGCTTCAAAGAGAAGAACCAAAAACCATGATATATTCTTGAAAAATGTTTTTTATAATATTCCTTGAGAAAGAAAACAAAAGTATTTCAATCCCTGCCAAATTAAGTATTTATAAAAATTAATTTTAAATAAACATTATATTATATCATATAGATATCATATGATATTGCAAGGATGTGAACATTAAAAAAAAATTACAATAAAAAAATCGGCACAGTTAGAACCAGTTTCCAGTGTTTTAACTACTAAAACTACCCGCGGTCATACTTTTAGAAATTGCAATAAGTAAAACTGATATTTGAACACCGAATAAAATTTGAACAACTTCAATATTTTATTCATTTAAAAAAAAATTGAACAACTTAGATATGACTGTCATCTTCATACTTCCAGCAGAAACGATCCAGCAATAAATGTTTGAGATACGTTTTTAACGAAAAAAAAACCCAATCCTCCCAATGTCAGAAAATATTATGCTTTTTATATACCTGGTCTTTCATATTAGACCACCACTATTGGGTAACATAAAGTAACACAAAATATTAGATGCCATAAGATCAATGCTAATCTTTAATTTGCAAAGTACAATACTTCGATGGTAGTAACTTCTGTGCACAACACCGTCTCATCACACAATATACATATCGAATATTTTGTTTACTTATTATGTTTTGGATGGTATTTTAAATATAAATAAATATAGGTTTAGACTAGTACTCACGTATGATATGATGGGTAAGTTCCATGCTGCGGCGACTAGAGCCTCTGCGCTGCAGGTCCCATCAGGCCCGATGAAGGCCACGGTACCCTGGTCCCTCATCTGGGTCATGATCCTGATCGGGAGGGGGGAGGCAACTGCACTCGAGCCGATGTTGGCCGCCAGGAAGCCCAGGTGTCGTCCAGGCAGCAGCTTCTGGTCAGAATTGACTGCCTTCACGGCCAGCGGCAGTGCGCCCAGGAACACCTACGGAAGAGTTAGGTTAGGCCAACAACAGTACCAGGGTGAAATGCTTAGAAATAATTTGTGAAATGACCAAATAATGAGAAAACAAATATTGTCTCTAAGTGATTCGAAGAGAGAGAGTTTCGCAGCACTATACCAAACGACAATTTAGAGCTTCATGTTGGAAACGGATATACAAATTATAGACGAATGATATTAGTATAAAATGCAATAATTGACTCTCAGAGCATAATCTACCACCACAGCACAACAGACCGAATATTAAAATTTTGAAAAATCCCAAACGTCGTAATGGAAAAGGTCGTAAGTCATAAAAAGGCAATTTTACAAGCGAAGCCAAAAACTGTTTTGGCGACTAAAAATGAAAGTTTTATTAGAAAAATAGAAACTTAACATCCATATATCGAGGTATTACATTATTAGAAACATTAAAATAATTTTGTACAAAAATTTTGGAAAAATGCATAATTCGGATCCATGAATTCCAACATAGAGAGCAGATATTTTATCTTTCGATGACTGATAATTGATTTTCTTCCTATTGATGGTAAAGAACTGATTTCAGAAATGCCCTTGATGGATTTTCCTTTATTGAAAATGTTGTGCTCACTCCAGGCTTCCATTTCATTGAATATTTTTGTATTTTGTATGTAGAGCCAATTTTCCTAGGAAATCTAAACCACGAAACATATCTGATATTTATTGGCGATGAATTAAAAAATATATCCAATATTGAGGAACCTAAGCCTGTACCACTACAACCCATGAAAGATCTTGAGTTCAGTACTATGTTGGGAAATAGAGTTACTTGGTCAACGTTGGTGCAAGTGGTTATTTGATCGAGATTACGCTAAGTTGTAAGGTTTTCACCATAATCAATTAATTAATTAAGAGTTTCCACTTTAAAGACGCTGGATATGCTCCAGGAGAGTGGATCTCCCAACCCCAGTGTTGATGAAACAGAATAATTAATTATTATTATTTCAGTTATGAAGAAACATATATTGGTTTCTGCCGATTATAGAACCATTGATTAAAAAAGATGATAATAAACCATTATGTAATAAATTATAGCTTTCTGTATTTTTTGTTTTAAAAAATTAAAACAAGATTTATATCTAAAACAAAACAATATCAATGACTTTATGAAATTAAACAGTCAATTGGGTTTTGAAATAAAGTGAAGTTAAATGTCAACTCTTTCCGTCCCAGCTATGAAATATAATTTGTCCAAGTGTAATAGATTAATAAAAATATAATTGAAGACTATTATTACTTGCATGGAAGACAGAACATTGTAAAGTTAAGCCCGGAAATGTAAAGATTATAAATCGGCACATTACCCACCATGATCCTGGAGCTAACCTCTCAAGGATAGGCAATATCTTCTTCTGTTTATTTATCCTGCGCAGGACGTGGCTTGGACCCAATAAGGACCTCCATCGCACGTAGTTGCTCGCAATGTTATTTATAAGTTCCAGTATGGTTTGCTTCCTTATTGCTTTCCACGACACCAATGATGTGGCAATGCGATAGGAATATATTCATAATAAGCAATTTCATAACCTAAATTCACTTAATTACTTCACAAGTGGTTTTACATATTACCCATCGCTCTAAAGTTTATTTAGATGGCCATTGATTAAATTTTAAGATTAAATTTTTTAAATTATTGTATTCATGATTTTACAATTGTATTAAGAAAAACAATACATCTAGCAAATTTCAACAACGAATAGGGCGGGTGGACATGATAACATTTGTTGAGAAACTATCCACTGGTAGCACTCTATTAATATGTCTACGTTAAGAGATCACGGAGCCATCTTCTATTCAGACGCTCGGTGGGTTATCAGAAATCAAAGAGGAAGATTAGAAACGAGAGAGTTCTGAAATTTACTATGGAAGGATAGGTATCTGCATTTGGTAAGATCTGAAACATAAGAACCATTGAGGTCATAATGGATGATATTTTTTTTGTAACAAAGTAAGGAGCATTGAGGATTTTACGAAGGATTTTTGATTGTAAGGATTGGATATGAGAGGAATTGAATGGCTTAGTGGGATCCCATAGCTCAACTCCGTAAGTCCTTATTATAGTCATGTATGTGAGTCTTTTGTAATTAATTGGAAGCTTACAGCGTTTGTCTAGTAAGTGCTGAAGTAGTCGAAAACGTGGAGCGGTTTCTTGTCGTATCACCCTGGTATTAGGAATCCAAATTAGACGTTTGTCCAGGTGGAGGTATCGGATTTATTTAATAATGATAAGTACTTCAGATACTTAAAGCGACTTAATGCTATCCAGCTATGAATGCAACATCAACGATTCAGGTATGTCAAAATACATTGATATATTATTATGACGTGAAACACTTTTTTTTTTTAATATTTGTTATTAAAGATGAATAAAATCAAATTTCATTATCGGACACTTAGTCTCCCCTGGAATAATGATAATGAACAATAGAAGTGTAATTTTTCTGGCATAAAAGGACTTTAAATAATTAAATTACAGTTATTTAACCTTAAAACTAAATTAAAGGAAAAGCAGAAGTAAAAAAATGAATTAAACCCGAGTCCTCATTTAAAAAAAACCTCCGACATCCTCCGAAAAATTTATTTCTTAAAACTTTTAAGAAGTCATTGTTAAAGATAAATTCGTTATTAATTTAAACCGCCATGGTCCACCCATAGATAATTAAAATATATTTAAAATTAATTTTGTGTGTATAAATGTTTGAACAATTTTTAGGTGTGTACAGATATTTCTTACAACTAGATATTCTCTCAAATTTATTTTTAAGAATTGTATTCAACATAAAGAAAATAAGGTTCTGTAGTTATTTGTTTCGAAAAATACCTCAAACCAAAACAAACAAAAAATTACATTAAATATTAAATCTTCGGTTCCATTGTTTTAAATTTTTATATTATAATTAGTTATATTATTATAGAATTATAATTGTTCTTATTGCCAATTTTTAACCATAGTAATAGAGAAATAATTCTGGGAATGTGGTATCTTACAGTCCGTCCCGCTGTGTATATGTAAAATAAAATAGGACACTCAGTGAAAACTTGAGAAATAAATATTGTTTACATACTTAGATAGCTGTGAAATAACAGTAAAACGAACTTCAAGCTGCTTTGAAACAATACGCAATCCTTGATTCGTCATGCCAAATCCTATTACTTTCAACAATCCTTATTCAGCACTCCAAACTCCAAAGCCATGTGGGCAATCCTCCGTAAATTATCCTTAGGCAAACCTATCCTAACTCAGACTACCTCTATTTCTGCTGACGTACTTAACATTCATTTTGCCTCCTGCTCATCATATTCCTCTTTCCAAGCACCACTTTCATCTCTCATTTATCCCCAATAATTTTTCTTTTCTCGTATTACCTATGGCGACCTCCTCAAATCTATTCGCAAATCCGAAACCAATAATTTCGAACAGATAATATCCCAATTAAATTAATTAAATCCTCACTTCCTTCCATTCTCTCAATCCTGTATCATATCTATAACTATTCATTACAAAGTTCCACACTTTCCAGCGCCTGGAAAACTGTCCTTGTATGTCCACTCTCTAAAACCTCTAACACGGCAACCCCTAATGATTTCTGTCCGATTATCCCGTTACCTAACATTTCCAAACCTTTAGAACGAATACTACAACTATTCCACTATCTCGAAGAAAATAACCTTTTGAACTGCATCTAGTTCTGTTTCTGACCCGGCTACTCCACTCATTCCGCTGTCATTAAAATCTCCAATGATCTCCACACAGCCATAGACCAAAAGAAACACCATCCTGATCCTTCTTGATTTCTCCAAAGCAATTGACTCAGTTGACCATAATATCCTCCTAACCAAACTTAAAATATTCACTTATCATCTAGTGTCCATGATTGGTTCGAATCCTTTCTCACCGGTCGCTTCCAGTGAGTTGTGGTTCCCAATAACCCTCCATCAGTGTCTCTACTCCTATCCAGAGCCCTCCCATAAGGTTCCTCTTTATCCTCCACCCTCTTTTTCATCTATATCAATGACCTCCCTTCCTCTATCATGTACTGTCAATATCATCTATATGCCTACGACGTCCAAATTTACCTTTCTTTCAACCCGGCGGATTCCTCTAACGCCATCTTGAAACTACAACAAAACATCAATAGAATATGCGCGTGGGCAAATTTTAATAAGCTCACACTAAATACGGAGAAGACAAAAAAGATTATGATCGGACCCCCCTCACTCCTCAAATCCAATCTTCCCCTGAATAACTCACCTATCTCCTTCCATCCTACCGATAAAAACCTTAGCGTTAGCCTCGATCAAACCCTCTTATTTCAAAACCAGGTAACCACATTATACAGGATATTATAAAGGGAGCAGTTCTTGAGAAGACATACACAGGTTTGTGGAATGGTATCTCGGGGTAAACGGAGGAACAAGGAGTAAACAAACCAAGAAAGTAAGAAGGTGTTTTAGTTGTAAAGATTTGCATAAGTAATACAGCTAAGGAATAAGGCCACTTCAACTCTCCATACTAAGAAGGAGACGTGAAAGTGCCTGGAGACTCCAAAATCTAATGAAACATTGCATTCGACTATGCCTAACACTCAGAATAAATCTTATGTTTTTCATTCCTTTTCATTCCATCTCCTTACCTTTTTAAAAAAAGATTTTTCTTCTGTGTTTTAATGATGTTTTTTACAAACGCTAAAAACTCAAAAGAACTGAGATGGCTGTTCAACTAAATTAAATTTAATATTAATTCCAAAATTATGGTGTGTCAGTACACCCATGGTGATATAGTTGTAAATTTGAAGAAAGAAAGAAATTTGTTTAAGTACATTAAAGAAGTTATATTTATACTTAAGT